AATGTTGACTATTATAGCGGTAATACGCAAATACCTGACTTACTAATGAATAAAGTATTTTTTACTTGCATATCAACTAAGCTCTTGCATATTCAAATATATTTTGCATAAAATGAATGAAGTATTTTGAAGTAAAATATTGAAGAGTGATAGTGCCTAATAAAGCATTAGTTATGCCAATAATCAATATATATATAGATAAATTGATTCCAAACTCACCACGCATAATTGAATGTATCGTATCCCATTTCAGATTGTAATTGTGCGAAGAATAACCAGCAAATGATAAAGACAAATACAAAACAACTATTAAATAATACAGTTAGACTATATATTCCCTGTTGTGTCTCTTAATTTGCGCGTCATATTCGAGTAATAAAGCTAGCCATTTTGTCTTAGCACCAAGGCATGAATTATTACATATATCTGTCAACATTGCGTTCAATGTTATGGAAACGAACGGGTGACCAGACCTCAAAACAGCGGGTAAATGTTTAACACCTACAGGGTGTCCCAAAAAAGTATACCTCTTGAAATCAAGCCTTTGTTGGAATTTGAATGCCATATTACTGTACAGGGTGTCCCAAAACTATCGAAATAACGTATTGTTTGAATTTGAATGCCTCAGCACTCTGTTGAACCAACAAGTGTGCATAAAAGCTTCACATAAGTAAATTTTATGCATAAAGAAACTGTTTAATAAGAAGCTGCTTTAGATTCCCAAGAGCAGAAAATCATATGCTTTACAAAGATATTTTAATCTTAATCAGTCAAAATTTAACATATGCAACCCTGTCATATTTTACGCATGTTTGCGTTCAGCTAAGTGCTCCTAACATTCAAATTACGTTATTTCAATGGTTTTGCTGACCCACGCGTGCATAAAGAGAACAGAAGTGATATGACTAATTAGTAATTTGACAATTTTTTACGCAGTTATGCTCTTCAATTCATACGATTAGAAGCTATTTTAAATTTCCAGGAGTAGTGTGTACAAAAAAACTGAACCCTTTCAAATTCAAATTAGCTATAACGTATTGTAGTAATTTGACAGCTCCAATTGCTTTGAATTAATGTTGGGTAAGAACACAAGGTCTTGTACTCATGGGACAAAACTCAAAGAAATAAAAATTAGAAAATTTAAAAGAAATACTGTATTTCTTTTAAATTTTCTAATTTTTATTTCTTTGAGTTTTGTCCCATGAGTACAAGACGTTGTGTTCTTACCCAACCATTAATTCAAAGCAATTATCGCTGTCAAATTACTACAATACGACACTATACATTCATTGATGCTTCAGTCATTACCCATGCATGCCTGGCGTCAAGCTTGTTGCATTGTTTGTTTTTTTAAAAAATGAAATATCTCAGTCATGAAAATTAAATACAAATCTGTTAAAAAATTATCAAGATTTCCCGCATCTAGCTCGATAGAACTAACAGTTCAAGGGTTTTTATACCTGGAAATTTTGAGTGAGGATTATATATATGGCTACAATTTTCAGACCCAACACGAAGCAGCTCCGAAAAATACAACTATACATAGGCTCTCCGGTGCAACGCTCTACCCAACTGAGCTACAGAGACCAGTTGTCGAGCATTGCATTAACCACAATTCTACCCTGCAGTTTCAAGCGCGTTCGTTTCACATTTATGAACCAGCATGAGCTCCACCTTTGAATTTACTATACGAGTAATTTTTTAAACACGTCCGAATTTATCATTATGATAAATTCGCGGCACATTTTGAATTTACCCCTAACCACTAACCCCTAACTTTTTAAACTTTTTAGAAGATCTAACTTTTTAAACTTTTTTTTTCTTTTTTAAACTTTTTTTCAAAATCTCCCCACTCCTGCGCGGCCAGCCTGCCTTTTAGTGACATTACATTTACAACAAAATGTCTTGCGTAATGCTTGTGGTTTTATGATTAACTCTATTGATAAATTCAAAATGTGCCGCGAATTTATCATAATGATAAATTCGGATGTGTTTAAGAATTTACTCATATTAACAGTGTGCATAGATATCTATCTTATACTGTATACACTAGATAGCGAATCTCCTTTAGTAAAATTGAAGCCAAGAATATTCCAGCGGTTACCCCCATTTGAATAGATGGCGGCCATGTTGGTCGTTCCCACTTGCTAATAAACGCTCAAAAAACAACAATAACTTTCATCATTTGAATAGTTTAAAAATGGATTTGGAATAGGTTTAACTTAATGTTTAAGTTCCCTGTTTAAAAAATAGAAAACATACGAATCTTTTCATTTAATGGGAATATCCTGAGTCTGCAATCAAGGCTTCAATTTTTGAATTGCAGAATATAAGATATTATGTATATAAGATATCTATATCAGTGTATTTAAAAAACTCATTAATAATTCAGGAGGAAAACACAAAGAAAAATCATAAGCATGTCGTATCTTTATATGTGATAAAAAATCATGTTAATTTACATAAACTTTAGCTTTGATTTTCTCGGTTTAGACAAAGTTTATTTTAAAAATTACTTCGCCAATGAACTCGTATAAAATGAGTCGTTTTTTAAGCCATTTAAAGCACTTGTAGTCGTGTTTTATCAGATATAAAATGCTCGGTTGCGCCTCGCGTTTTATATCTGATAAAACACTCCTACGCGTGCTTTAAGTACTATTTCAAACACTCATTAATAATTCATAAGCTTATTGGCAAATCATGTCAACCATAATATGTCACGTGCAGTGGCTTTAAACCTGATAAAACACTCCTAATTAGTATTCTTTATATAAAGAATACTAATAAGGCAGTACAGTATCTATTGTAGTCGTGTCCACATTAGTATTTTTTTATATAAAGAATACTATAATAAGGCAGTATATCTATTGAATTTGTAGTCGTGTTTGAAGCCGTTTAATAAACTCACAGGTCGTGTTTTATTAGGTCTAAAGCCACTCGCGCTGCGCGCTCGTGTCTTTAAACCTAATAAAACACTCCTGCTCGTTTATTAAACAGTACATAAGATATCTATGACAGTGTGTCCTCTTCACTTAGGCCTATTTTATACGTCGAATTTTGGTCGTGTCGAATGCAATTAAGACAATAGATAATGAGATGATAAACCTCATTAAGCTTCATTATCTATTGTTTGAATTGCATTCGACGCGACCGAAATTCGACGCATAAAACAGGGCTATATATGGGTGGAGTTAGACGAGCAACAAAATTGCTGCAACTTGCAACAAAATCTGATTTCAACGCATGTTAATTGAAAATGTTTACACATAAATTACAAATCACAAGCCAACATGGTGTCGACATTTCTATACTTAACATGCGTTGAAATCAGATTTTGTTGCTCGTGTAACTCCAGCTTAAAACCTAACCAGGAGTAGTTGTGAAAAATGCAAAGTGCGGACCAGCAATTCTAGCGCAGCGCTCTAAACTACAGAGTTTAGTTGCTAAGGAGAGTTATTTATACGGTGCACGAATCTATAAACAAAACTCCCACTCATTTTTTCAATGCGGAGTGAACTGCAATGCTGATATATTAATATGTAGTTTTATGCAAAGTCTTCAATATTCAGAAGAAAAAATTAGTTTGGTTTTTTAATGAATGTAATGACTTGTTCACTAATTTAGGCTTTCTGCTTTCCATACAAGCCAGCCTTGGATTACCTAATGCCAATTTTCGATATGTCTATCCTAGAATGCTTGGGGTTTCTTTGTTTATTTGTAATAACAATATACGTTTCACGAATGCCTAACGGAATTGTTTTATATAACTCATGCATGCAATTGAGTTCTGCGACAGAATCAAATGTTTTAATTCTTTCAACCCATTTGAACTTGTAACAAGGTTAAAGTTTTAAATTGTGTTTTATTTTAACCTGTCGTTTCTCCATAAGGCATAACGTAAACCTCAAATAAAATAACACTCCTACACTTGTTTTGAAAAGATCGAGACAAAACACTCGTATATTAATAGTATATATAGGGCATGGAAATTCTTACTTTAATTATATAATTACTCAATAAGTATGTATATATATATATATATATATATATATATATATAAAGACTTTATATAGACACGAGATTCGTAGCTCCAAGTCAAATCGAGATCAACACTCCCAACAAAATAAATTAAACACTTTGTTTGCATTAATGAAAACCACATGTTTTGTTATGGAATCAAAACAGGTAAATATAATTGATAGTCATGTGATATAATTGGTTATAATATTTGTGTTTTAGTGACAATATAATGTGCCCTGTTTTTTTGCGTAATGGCTGCTGTATATTTGTACATGCGCCCACAAGCAGTTTTGTCTTGTGGTATATAATGGAGAAAATTTAAACTGTCATTAAAATTTTTATTTTCTTAACGACGAAAATGCTTTTAAAACTGTATAGTAACTTGTTTTGAAGATTTTTGTTTCCATGCTTAGTTCTTGAGATTTTTCATTTTGTTTGTAATCATGTGACGTCATTCACTTTATCAAAGTCTTTCCAAAGATGCGGCGCGTTTGTTAATTAACCTATAATACTGGGGTTTTTTAAACAAATCCGTCAAAAATAGCAAAGATTAGCCCGCGTGCAGGCTCAAGGGACCACTATCAAGTTCCCTTGAGCCTGCTCCCTTGGGCCTGCACGCGGGCTAAGCAAAGATAGACAACAATTACTGAGTAAATGACGTCACATGGTTATAAACAAAGAACAAATCATGCATGGGAACCAATTTTTTCAAAAGAAGTTACTTTACAGTTTTAGCAGTTCTTTCGTTTGAGACAATAAATAATTTAATGTCAGTGCCACTTTAAAAGTGCGAAAGCGGAACGAAAAAACTAGTTTTGTGCTAATGTCGAGTTAGGTTCAGTTTTTAATTTTAGGTTCAGCTCAGGTCTATAGCTATAGAAAAATTACTGGACAATTCATCATTTAAAGTTAAGTTTAAAGTTTACATATTAAAAGACTAAATAGTGGAATAAATTCTTTATAAACTTAATTTATTTTCACGTTAAAACGTCTACAGCGCGATGTAATATGAACACATCGTAAAGTTATGTTTAGAAAGAAAAGGCGATTCACACTACACAACGTTTGTCTAAAACTGTCGCGTGGAACCTGCTTACAACTTGAGTTGTACTGTGTAAATCAAGCAGACAACTCGTCTACAACAACTTAGGCGAGTTATGTGCTTGATTTACACAATACAACTCAAGTTGTAAACAGGTTACATGCAACAGTTTTAGGCAAAAGTTATGAAATGTAATAGGCCTTAAAGGAAAAACGTTTACTTCTTTATTTCTATTTACTTTTGATTCATTTATTTCCACTTGTGTTAAATTACAGTACATGTATTTATAAATTATTTAGTTTTCGCAGAAGTATTCCATGTTAGCAGCACAAAGAGAGACGTTCAGATATCAGACGAATTTTTAAAGAATTAAATAAAAATATTGCCTGGTTAAATCGATCAACTTGATTACATATAGCCTGGTTAAATTAACTATAGGAATCCTGGCTATAAATTAGCCACGATATAGCGTCCAAATTAGCCAGGGACCGGTTGTACGAAGGTTGGATAGCGTTACCCAACGGATAGTGATTTTTCCAACCTTTGTAAAAATGCTTGAAAAACTGTGAAACTACGGATATAGAGGACACAAGAAGTATAAAAAACATTTAACTTATAAATACTAAACTTTAATACGAGTTATACCAATCAACGACTGATTTAACAAAGCTTGAAAAAATCACTATCCGGTGGATAGGGCTATCCGGCCTTCGTACAACTGGCCTCAGAACTGTATAGTTAAATTAACCAGCAATTTATCCAGGGACATTAAGTTATACATAAAACAGAGTTCTGTTTCTATCACGTCTACACAAATAATTTCTATAATGCAATAAAAACAAGCGAGCTTTTAAAACCCCAAAATATATTACTAACCAGGCACCGCGTTCCTCGCTGCCTGGTCGATGAAAATGTACAAATAAATTATATACACATGCAAATACTTAAGTTTTTGTCTCAGCCTTCTTCTTCCTCATCATCCCCTTCTTCTTTCACAATAGTTATACCTTCAACAAAATGCATTGTTTTATATTTCGTCGTTCTATTAAATGTAAAGTTATACAGCAACACGAGGCAATTTTTGTTGCAACGCGGCAATTTCTGACATGAAGTCATGTTAGCTAAAAATTGGTCATGCACTGGAAATTGCGAGTCAGTATGATTCACTGTTTACTCTGTGGACATTTGTCATTTTTTCATTCCTTAGAGAGTATGTTATATTACTAGTAAAGTGTGTGACTGATTTTTAAATAGCATGGATCTGTATCGGAATTGTATTGCAGGTTGCAGCAAAACATTACCAGAAATTGGCGACAAAATGAAAGAAACTGCTGCCGAGCGATTTTGTTTTGAAATTTTTGACGCTGTTGGGTGACACAATCAACATTTTATAGAGTAATCTATATCACGAGCGTGAAAGACTTAGACTAGATCTTGAGCAATATTATTTGGTGTTTTGCATCCGATTCAGTAACTATCCGACCAAAAATTTATATAAGAGAATTGCTGTTTTTTTCCTTGTTGTTAATAGTGCAGGCCCAAAGGCCCAAGCATTAAAGTGTGTGCAACGATTCGTTTCTATTTGGCCGCTCGGAGAGATACCCGATCTAAATAAATATGCCACCGAAACATTAGTAAATGTATACTTTATTCATCACGAGGTCAGCAAACAGTAGCCGAGCTCTTAGCCTGTGCACAGGGTAATACAGGATGTGCACAGGCTACCGAGCTCTCAGATTGCAATAATTTCGAAGGCTTCTTGCAGGTACCCAACCTCGTCCCCAGGGCCATCTCGCGCCTCCCAAATTTCGCGCGGATGGCCCTGGGGACGAGGTTGGCAGGTATCCTATGAGCATGGGAAATTACATCTGGGTTCACAGATTATAGGTACTCTAGTTTCTTTCTGTAGTAACACTGCTAAAACCGTTCTAAACTTACCGTCAAGCTTTCTAAGATTTGGCAATCTTCTTGTAACTTCCGAATGCCACGTTCCCTCTGCTGACATTTTCTCCTCAAGTGGATTCCCTGGTTTAAAATTGAACGAATGGAAGAGAAGGAAACTAACTACAATGATCACTGTATAAGAAAAGACAACGACCAGGGCTTTCAACATAAGCTCGCGGCCACAGGAGCTAGCGCGGATGCCACGAGGTTCACCGTCGGGTACTTTGTTTAGAACTTGAAATATCATTACTGCTCTCCTTCCTCCACTCTGAGCTTTCAAACAAAGTTATTTTTCATCAACCTGGTCTACTTTATAGCCTGGATACTTTTGAAAACGACGTACTATTTCGTGAAACTGATTTAGTTATTTCCCATCATACTGCAGTAAGTCTTGAAGTTTTTTTTTTTTTTAAAGAGAAATATTTATTAAATTAACAAGTTTTAACATGATATTTACAAAATTAACTTCTTTTTTTTTTAACTGTTATATGTCCAAAAGTTTTGAATTTTTATTAAGATTGCATGTTGGTATCATAGTATGTTGTCAGCTTGGTTGTGGCTGAGGCAATTTCAAGTTATGAAGTCTTGAAGTCATCATCTTGTTGAAGAATGAAAGTAGTGATACATTATACTTTGGTTCCAAAGCTCAGTTGTGTTGCTATCTAATCAATATACACTGGTTAATTTGGATGATTTTCAGACTCCATAGACAGCCCCCCACTACTTTATCCACACAGCCATCTACTGAGAATAATTCTGAAAGCTCTTATAAATCATTTTCACTTACCAACAAGCAGCAATTCTTGCAGTTGTGGTAGATCAGCCTGGGAGTCAAACAATAAAATATTTCAACGTGACTTGTACACTATGTGTGCCTATTTTTACAATTTAGAGAATAAAATGCCATGCCTGTTAATTCTGTGTGGAATGTTTAGCATTTGAAAAAGAGATAAAAACCTTTCTTGTGATTGGTTGTATATTAGTCATGTGACTTGTACACTACAATGCACCTATTTTTATAATTTGAAGAAATGAAGTTTTTAAATAATAATTTACCAATTTCTGAAATTCGTCAAATGACTTGACTTGATTGTTGGACATATAAAGAACCTAGAAAAACATTTGTAATCTGTTATTTCTGGCTCATTTGATGTAGTCAATCAGTTGGTCACTCCATCAATCAATCTACCTTTAACTTCTTCAGAACACCAATCCCTTTGAGCTTTTCAATATTATTGTATGATATCCATAGTTCTTGCAACGTATCTGCAACTGCTTCCTATCGAGAAAACATGCTGTAATCAGGGCTGGTTCTACCATGGGGCACAGGGGTGCATGCACACCCCACTAGAGAACTAAGTCCAACTGGACACCACCCTAAAACAATCTCGAGAAAATACTCGCAGTTTCAGCCTGAAAATCCTCAAGTCTAAGCAGTTTCAGCCTGAAAATCCTCAAGTCTAAGAAGTTTCAGCTTGTAAATCCTCAAGTCTAAGCAGTTTCAGCCTGAAAATCCTCAAGTCTAAGGAGTGTCAGCTTGTAAATCCTCAAGTCTAAGAAGTTTCAGCCTGAAAATCCTGGCTGCAATAAACTAGATGTTGTTTTTAAATACTTATCACAATAAAATATGTATTTACCAAGCCATTTAAGTTTTTGATATTGTTTCTTCCCAAAGATAAGATTTTCAAGTTTTCTACAAAATAAAAGGAGATAAATTATTTTGAATATAACATAATCACATCTTAAAACACATTGTACATACTTAATCCGTTGAGATTGGCAATTTTCTCAATACAGTTTGTCGAAAGAGACAACTTTCTATAAAATGGGAATAATCTCTTGTTTAGTAATTGGCAGTACAGAAATAAATATAAAGGTCAGGTGCCCATTGGGATTAAATAGTCTGGCGTTAGACAGAGTAAAATAATAATGTAGGGCGCATCTGGGCGCATTGCCACTGAAAGCGTTACCCCTTCGAGTGGCGGCACTCTCCCCTTGACAAGTAAAATCGTCTAGGGCACATCCGGCCACATTCATTGCCACTTAAATGTTAAAACATGGGTTAAGGTGTACATACTCGCAATTAGCCAATGTGGATAACGAGGCGTCCATTTTCTCTATAGGAGGATACTGAGCAAACAGCAATATTTCAGGTGATTCTGACGCTTTCTTCCCATTCTTCTCTTCCTATTGGATAATTAACAAATCAAACGAATAATACACTGATCATGTAATGCACCTATCAATGTTAATCAGTGGGAATTTTACAGACTTCAGAGTCCAATGGGCATTTAGAAGTCTCAAGATTGTCACACAGTGCGGATATTTTCAAAAAATGTTTTAGTCAGCAAACACAATGCTTAGGGTGTGGATTTTGACCAATTTTTTTAAAATTGTCCTCTCGGGATGCCCATTGCCCTCTCGGGATGAAGTATCATGAACATTGATAGGTGCATAAGTATCATATCTGATCTTTGGATAGTAATTAAAGATTTGGTGATAGTACATATATAGAGAACATCAAAACAGCGTGCCCAATTTCTACAGTGGGTGATGGGGGGAGGGGCAGAAGACACAGGGGTGTACCCATAAAATTTAGTCTTAGAAACTTGACAGTTGATATTATGTAAAATACTGTATAACAGATATAATTTTATGTAAAGCACTCTATAATAAATATGTATGTGAACAATTATAAACCTACCCATTTCGATAAAGCATCCTTAATCGTTGTTCCTTTATTCTAAATTGAACAAAAAAAATATAAAAACACAATTTATAAAAAAAATAAAAAACTTATATCATTTTTTAATTTTATACTGCAAGCACAGTTATCTTTTAAACAGTAGTAGAGTACAAAGGTTAGTTTTTTCGTTATTTTTAAGCTTCCCAAACAGTGAAACACCAACCCAAAAGGGCGAACCCAACTACCCAAGGCTTGCCAGGTTGCCAGCAAGGCAGCAGCATAATTTTCAAGCGTTGTTTAAACTTTTATGAATCTAACAACATGACTTATTAATACTACAGTTTAAAATTTATAACATGAAATTAATGTGCATACCATTGTTACGTCTTTTGCAAGAAAAACGGCGAAGAAAATCAACAAAATATAATTTACTTTTCCATCGTAAAAATTGACAATTTTTTGCAATGGCCGCCAAACGGTTGCTATGGAGACGAGACGAATATTTCCACTTTTTATATAAAAATTTCCACCTCAAAAAATTTCAAATTTCCTTTCCGCCATCTTAATATAATCTTATAAAATTTATATACGAAAGAAAACGTGAATTATCTCTGTTGGACGTCAAGTATCAGACCTAAAACTTGGAAAATAGTAAACAGTGAGTGTCTCTCTGTGCAAATAAACTGTTTTTATTTAATAGTAAGTGTTTAATAAGAAAGGCATTTTGGTCTGCAGTCATGATCATGTGACCAAAATACTGTGCTATGATTGGTTAATTAACTTAATTAATTAAATTAATTAATTATAAATTAATGACATTGAGGTGTTTTAATGTATACCTTGACAGGTTTTTTAAGCTCTGAATACGGATGTAATGTAGCATTGTTGCGATAATGGACACACACAAACTTTGCGGAGGGAATAGAAGTCTCGACATACTCCAATCTGGCTATATTTCACCATGTTTTATTCATCTATGGCTTGCTTGTCCCATCCATGCTGTCTTGGTTGCTGTCAATGTGTTTTTCATTGCAAAACATCAATCGAATCCAGCATGCTCACTTCAGAAACTTATGAAGACAAACCAACTGTTATTGGCACTGGTTGTTTTGGTAATAGTTGCAGAGATAGCCTGCTCGGTAGCTGGCCTGCAAACATATCACCCTACGTCCTACGTCTTATCATTAGCATTTGTTGCATTTGCATGGCTTTTGACGTCGATTTATATGCAGATGAACAATAGACCTCCTTTAATGCTATGTGTCCTACTTACTTTATCATGGGGAACTACAATTACCGAGTTTTCAACGCTCATAATTCGGTCAGATTACAATAATGTACATATAAATAACAAGCTTCACAGAGTTGAAGATTATAGCACTATTGTTCGACTTTTATTCCAAACTTTATCATTAGTTATATCAGTGGTATTGAGAGTGAAATGGATTTGTAACGAGTTCATTAACCAACGGTTACATACAGGCATTCAAGCCGAGGCTAGCGAGACAGACAGGCTCCTCGGCTCTGAAGACTACCATATATACTACAGCGGTCTTTCAAAACAGCAGTCATCAGCAGAGCTCAATAAAGTTGATGAAAATTCAGGTTTATTGTCAAGGACGACATTTTGGTGGGTATATAAACTTATGAAAAAAGGATTGGAAGGCAAACTCAAGAATGCCGAGGATCTGTTTTACCTACCCTCATCACTCTCGACAAAAGAAATTGCAGGTGCATTCCACAGGGTATTGCAAACATTGCGTAAATCTTTATGTAGAGACAGCACTAGTGATGATGGTTCTCAAGGAAAGCAGGGTAATCTGAAAAAACGTTTGCTATTGAGAGCACTGCATAAAGCATTTGGTGTGCGTTATTATTCAATTGGTATTTTGAAATTTGTTGGTGATTGTCTTGGGTTTGCTGGGCCGTTATTGTTGCATGCACTCGTTTCATTTATGGAGAATAAAAATGTAAGTGTAGGAGGCAGATGTTACAGACAGACAAACAGACATTACAAACAAACATTACAAACATATGGACAAACAGACAGACAAACATACATTACAAACAGACATTACAAACAGATGGACAAACAGACATTAAAAACAGACATTACAAATAGATGGACAAACAGACATTACAAACAGACATTACAAACAGATGGATAATCATACATTACAAACAGACATTACAAACAGATGGACAAACAGGCATTACAAACAGACATTACAAACAGACATTACAAACATATGGACAAACAGACATTACAAACAGACATAACAAACAGATGGACAAACAGACATTACAAACAGACAATACAAAAAGACATTACAAACATATGGACAAACAGACATTACAAACAGATGGACAAGCAGACATTACAAACATATGGACAAACGTACATTACAAACAGACATTATAAACAGATGGACAAACAGTGTGGACAAACAGATATTACAAACATATGGACAAACAGACATTACAAACAGACATTACAAACAGACCTTACAAACAGACATTACAAACAGACATTACAAACAGACATTACGAACAGACATTATAAACAGACATTACAAACAGACATTATAAACAGACATTACAATGTCTGTTTGTCCATCTGTTTGTACTGTCTGTTTGTCCATCTGTTTGTCCATCTGTTTGTAGTGTCTGTTTGTCCATCTGTTTGTACAATGTCTGTTTGTCCATCTGTTTGTACTGTCTGTTTGTCCATCTGTTTGTAATGTTTGTAATGTCTGTTTGTAATGTCTGTTTGTAATGTCTGTTTGTCCATCTGTTTGTAATGTCTGTTTGTAATGTCTGTTTGTCCAAATGTTTGTAGTGTCTGTTTGTCCATCTGTTTGTAATGTCTGTTTGTCCATCTGTTTGTAATGTCTGTTTGTCCAAATGTTTGTAATGTCTGTTTGTCCATCTGTTTGTAATGTCTGTTTGTCCAAATGTTTGTAGTGTCTGTTTGTCCATCTGTTTAGAATGTCTGTTTGTCCAAACAGACAGAGAAACAGACATTACAAACAGACTATTTTATAAAGATTTAAAATAAAATACAATGTCATTATATCTAGGAGCCTCTAGAACATGGGTATTATTATGCTGCCGGGCTGTTTGCCTCAACTTTAATTGGTTCATTTATTTCAACACATTATGGTTACGTGGTGAGTAAAACATTGTCAATAGGCTGATGAAAAATTCCTATTAATTAATAGGAGATCCTATATAAATGTTCGTTTATTCCTATAGGAATTTCTTTAGGAGATTCTGATTCCAATAGGAATTTTTTGTAAGGGATTTTGTGTGGCTAGGGGCAGTAGCATTAGCTCAAGACTACCTTACAAGGGATCCTATAAACACCTAGTACAGCGATCTTGGAAGCAAATGCCAGTAGAAATTCCTATTGAAATTCCAATTGGATTTTCTATAAACAGAATCAGAAAAGATTCTTCCATGATCTCACCAAAATCTTACCATGATCCCACCAAAATCTCAAAGAATCCCAAGGGATTGTACAGCTTGCAGGTTGAAGCCATAATCCAGGATACTTCTAAGATCACTCCAGGATCCTATAGCATAAGGTCACACTACCAAACACGCATTGGTAAATTAATTTGGATGGTTGCTGAAAGAGAGATGACTAAAACATAGCTTCTTTCACCCTTTTTTTTTGCAACTGGCATTTCTTATCCCTAGGTGAATAAAGTTGGCCTACAGATCCGAGCGGCTGTTATAACGTCTGTTTACGATAAAACTTTAGCAGTTAAATCTACAGGCCTTTACTCATTCTCAACAGGCGAGGTATGTGATGTTTGCACAAAATTTATTACTGCCGCTTCAAGACAATGATACTTTGCTGATTTTCTTTGTATTTTGGTTTTGAATTATAACTTTAAGCTCCGTTCACATGGGACCATGCACTGACCATAAATTCAGAACTGTATTCAAATTCTTACGATTGCACCTTTCGTCTTCACTCGGAACGGATGAAACCGGACGAGTTTGCATACGATTCTGAAGCGTATAATTTTATTTGATTTTGATAATTGTCTTCGTACAGGTTGTGAACTTTATGAGCACTGATACAGATCGTATTGTGAATTTCTGTCAAAGTTTTCATCAGTTTTGGAGTTTACCATTTCAAGTCGCTGTTTCCCTCTATCTTCTTCACCAGCAGGTACGTTTCTGAGGTGATTTTTGGAAAACTTATTTAGCAGGGGTCGAAATTCCCGCTATTCCGCTATTCCGAATATACTAAAATGCCTGACGGAATAGTAAACTTCATGATCACAGTATTCCGTTTGTATAGTAGAAAAAATTGTGGTACCCGAAATATGGACAAGCAAGAGTTTTCCTGATCTTATAAAAAATTCACTTTATACCGGACTTTGAGCCACTGTTCCACTTCGTAGCTAAGTTCTTGTTCGCTTGCAATACTTGCATATTCTAATTTCTTTGCAGCAATATTATTGTTGATTTCAAGTCACTTTTCAACGCGCGGTTACCAAGTTCGTTGCGAACTTGCCAATTACGTTTCCAAGTTCGGAAATTGGACGCGAACTTCGCAACAAAGTTCGCAAGTTCATTTCAGTGTTTGAACTTTGTTTTTTTATTAATAATTTGTTCATCACTGTACAGAGCAATGCACTGTACATGTTTATTTTTTGTTATTCAATTATTCAGTTCACTTTAGGAGTCTCAAGGATGATTTCGTGAAAATCAGAATATTAGCGCGGACCCTGCATGAACAGGCTCTCAGAAACAGTACATTAAGGAATAGTGGATTTTCAGACAGAATAGTAAATATAAAATCTACTATTCCGGCTGCATAGTACAAAAAATTTAAATTTCGACCCCTGTTTAGACTAAAGAGATGTGCTCCGTCTCGACGAAACTGTGAACAAAGAAAAGATTGGGGGGGGGGGGGCGGTAGACTTTGAAAGACGTATGAAAGTCTGGTACCAAATATCACAATTCACAAGCATTGTTTAGGAGCATGTGGCAAGCATATAATCACACCCATAGAACGTAATTGTCATATTAAATAATGACTATTAAATAAAACGTAGCAATATAGCAAGCAATGTATGATATAATATTTTAATCGATCAGAATTGATAGTTATAATTGAACAAGAACGCTGATCGACACGATTAATTGATTATCTTAGAAAAAGCATCTAGTGGTTGTCAGTCAAATGGCACAACTCGGGACTCTTCATTCATTTCATTAAGGCGAGACACATGTTCTGAAAGATTCGCAAAGGAAACGAGCACCGAAACCCTATGGCATGCATGTTGAAAATTTCGCCACTGACCATCTTCGTGCTTGTCCCACTCAGACGGACGTGCGTGCGAAGTTCATTTTGAGTTTTTGACTGATTATCCGTCCGGACCAATGTGGGCAAAGAAAAAATATTTTATCTGATTCTTCTGTGTATAAACGCGGCAAAACAGCCATCATTCATGAAGACAATTTATGTGATT